GCCATTGCAAGAGAGATCTTTTTAGGTTAGACTTTGTTTCTGACTCATTGTGATCATCTGGCAGATCATTTCATCTCTCTTCTTCCTTCCCATCATCACTGTTTGGAAATGTTCTTGCCAAATCATTGCTTTCCTATTTCCAATGCCCCCAAGCCTTAACAGATGATGCCTTTTAACAATCTTTGACATGGATCAAGGCTACTCACTTTGTAGAGTACCCAACGATCTTATCGCCTGCTTCTGCTTTGTAAGTTCAACTTTCCCTTTTCCTCTCTCTTCTCAGTTTCCTGCTGTCTTCTCTCAGATACAGCTAAGCCACTGTTCATTATGGTACATAATCTTTAATGGGACTCATTCCTAGCTCATTTTTAAAATGCAGACCTGTAATTATACTTCAGTTTGGTTCTGTCTTTTTCTAACTATGGCTCTTAAAGTCTGTTAATGTAAGAATATGAAGCCATTCATTCTCATTTAATAATAATATGCAAAACATATTTTATGAATGCACTCATAAAATCATTAATTAAAGGAAAGCCCTAGTGATAAAGGCCTATAATTAGTATGATTTAATTATAGCTACCATTTAATATGATTCTCTGTATGGCACCTATAATATAATATTGAATCCATAACAGTAATTCCCAGTGTAGATTACCACTTGACAGGTGAGAAAACTTACGATCAAAGAGGTCACCCATCCAGGCTTTTATTTTTGTTTTTTCACTCCTTTGACAATATCTACTATCTTGTGAATTCAGTATCCCTTCTAAACACTGCTGCTCTCTTCTCCATCCATAAGGCTGTCATGGGACTAAGTGACATGTTATGGAGGCCATCTTCTGGCCTCTGAACCACTTCTATGAGCTTTTATGGAGAGGGGAGTATGAGCACATTGGTTCAAGACATATTTATTTGTGTAACAGTACCACAACACAACAGGTTAGTATTTATTGGTAGCTGGGTTACTGCCACAGTGACCCCAGATATAAGGAATGACAACATGGCTGTGAACACCTCTATGTTCTGATAATACGTTCTTTGAGTTAAAGTATTAAAACACTTAAGTATTTTTAGATTCTACTTTGTAATCAGTTACTTGCAGCCCCCAGAAGTCCTAACTTCTGCTGGCTGTTGAACATCATAATCACAACACAGATAATGGCTTTGGGTTGAAAGTCACTGACATAGGAGGGTTTTACTCAGCGTCTGGTTTACACTAATTCCCAAGTATCTTTCTCTGGTTTCTTCCTTCCAGATCACAAACATATCTGAAAACAAATCTTAGAAAAAATAAATTGCATTAAAAAATAGATTTAAACAGCAAATCATCTTGAAAGAAACTGAAAACTAGCTTGTTTTTTTTTTTTTAAAGATTTATTTATTTATTTGTGCATACAGAACTGGGGTACAGGCCAGAGGCTCAGGGGCGGTGAGAGGCTTCACCAGAGACAGAGTGGGGAGCAGAACAGGCAGATTGACGAAGTACACTGCTGAGGGGAGCAGCGGACGGGTCAGGAGAGGTCTGGCTCGCCATGTGGTCTCCTCCGGGGCAGGCGGGAATCGAACTCATGCGGAAGTGGCTTCAGCTTCTCAGTGCTGCGCTTTAACCCGCTGCGCCACCAGGGAGGGCCAAAAAACTAGCTTGTTTTATTGACAAACTATAATGACTTCTACTCAGTATTTAATAAAGAAATCTTTATTTATTAAAGAATTGAATCATATGATGCATTTCTCAATATTTTATCACATGTCAGGAAAGGGGACTGTTTTTTTCTAAAGTGTGTATTGGAAATAGTCTCTATTGAAGTGATAATGAAAGAAAACATTAACTATTACAGGTAGGGCATATTTAAGGGAATCTTGAGACTCTAGAACAGAAGGAGATTTGGGGTTGTGTTGTCCACTTGTTGGTACTAAAAGCTCCGTGTGGAAACCTTGGCAAGCTCTGCTAACTTGCCTTTGGCTGGCACAGTCACAGCACAAACCATGTGGGTAATTCTACCTGCAACTGAATAGCTGTTTGTGTGCATCTCTTCATCTTAGCACAATTGAAATACCCCATAATCATGGTTAAATATGGATCTATTCTGTGACCACCTTTGACAACTTGTTCTGGGACTTTGTTTGTCAAAGAAAAAAAATGACTTAATCTGACCTAATAGAAAGAATATCTTAACAATAGCTTAAGACTTTAAATTGTTGATTGGTGACTAGAATAGCACCAACATTTTTCCTAGAAAAATATGGAGAAAACCTAAAATGTGTGCAGGGGATAGGGACATCCAGTTATTTGGAATATCTAAATACTTTCCAACCTGCATTCTTGAGGATTCAAAGTTTATTCTGAATAATTTCAAATGACTAGTCAATTTGGTAGAACAATAGCTTTAAAATATCAAGCTAAGTGTTTAAATGACTAAATCAGCACATGAAAACAAATATCTTTGGTCCTCAGACATAAACTTACTGATTGCCTGGAAATATTTTCTTCTGTCTCATACAAATCATGCTTGCTTTGTGCTTACCCATTTTTAATGCTTCAGCCCATAGAGAATGACTACCTGGCTTTTCTTTGCCCTCCTGTTCTACTTAGTTTTTCTGTATAGGTTCCAGATTTTATTCTTTAGTTACTTTTTTTTTTAAGATTTATTTATTTATTTGTACAGAACTGGGGGACAGGCCAGAGATGCGGAGGGTGAGAGGATTCACAGGGACATAGTGGGGAGCAGAACAGGCAGATCGATGAAGTACACTGCTGAGGGGAGCAGCAGGCAGGTCAGGAGAGGTCTGCCACGCCATGTGGATCTCCTCTGGGGCAGGCGGGGATCGAACTCATGCAGAGGTGCCTTAAACTTCTTAGTGCTGTGTTTTAACCTGCTGTGCCACCAGGGAGGGCCTCTTTAGTTACTTTTAATTTGAAAAATAAAATAAGAAAGCAGTTTCTACTGACATGTGATAAAATGTTTGCCAACCTGATAAAAATGACATATCCCCACATAGAATTTGGTAGGAACTAAGTTATTACAAATTCTGTAACTTGTGGATTGTTACATAATATAGGATGTGGCCCATTGTCCTTACATATGCCCTCATTGCCCCAGCTCTCCCTGGGTGAGCATACTGACAGGGAGCACCTGAAGGCACATTCAGAGCATGGTGTGTGTGTGTGTGTGTGTGTGTAGAAGCAGATTAGAGAAAAATGTCTCCATGGTGATGCTATGTAAGGCCAGACCCCCAAAACAAGATTAACAGGGCTCTGTCAGCTGGGTTTGGGCTGCACTCTGGGAGCAGGCCAGGGTGATGGTCTACCTGATGGAAAAAGAGTTTGGGTCTGTGATATGCAGGATGAGGGTGTCTGGGCCCCCTCCAGGCACAAGCAGGGCTAGAGACAGGCCTAAAAATGGCCTGGCAGGCACGAGGCCAAACAAGTTAGGGTCAAGTCATTTTGGTTTTTTTCTTTCTTCTTTCCTCCCTTTTTTTTTTTAATGATTTATTTATTTATGCATACAAGAACTGAGACACAGACACAAGCCAGAAGTGTGTGGGGTGGGGGTTTGGGAATGGAAGAGGATTCACCAGAGACAGAGTAGAAAACAGAACAGGTAGATCTATGGAAATACACTGCTGAGGGGAGCAGCAGATAGGTTAGGAGAGGTCTGCTGTGCCATATGGATCACCTCCCTGGTCAGGGATTGAACTCACATTGCAGTTGCTGATACTAGCTTCATAGTGCTGTGCTTTATTTAACCCATGGCGCCACCATGGTGGGCCCTGATTTTTTGTACTCTTCTGAACTGATATCTCAACTGGTCATGGTGACCAGTGTGTAAGCTTTGGATGCTCTCCCCCTTTCCAGTCTGGGGTCTCCGCACTTTGTAGGAAGGGGCTGCTTATTGAACAACTTAAAGACAAGCTTTACAGCCCCTTCAGTGCTCAGAGTTGTCTTAACTATGAAAATATCAAATCTGACATTGCTAGGCATGACCACTTAGCTTTGAATATTTATAAACTAAAAAAATATAACATTTTCCTTGAGTTAAAATACTCTTATCATCTTGGTAGTTATAATATTTTGAATCACGAAAGCGATGGTTTAAGTGTGTTTTCTATCAGGCAGAAATAAAACAACATGAAGATCAGGAATTGCAATTGCCTTCCTTGTTGCATAGATTAGAAAGAGATTGGAAATCCAAAAGCTAAAAGTTTACTATTCTCATATTTCCCACAATCCTGGACCTAGAGAAGAAGCAATTCTCTTCTAATCAGCAAAGACACATTTATACTTAACTTGTCTTTAGATCTCAAAATCATTAGAGTAGCCCTGAAATTTCTTTGGTGATTAGTTATAATAAAGTTTCTTGGTGCTCTTTCTACCAGAGAATTAGAGTAATCCAGGTTTTTGAGGGCATGAAATAGAATTGGCTACATTTCCATGAGGTTCAGATAGAGTGTAAAGTCACAACTGCATTTACTTAGTGCAGGGTCATGTCCACCAGCAGACAATCAGACCAAGTGATAAAGCTCAGCTAAAATCTGGACACCTGCAAAGGCCAGCTTTAGCCTTCCAGTAAGGAACTGCTTATAAGAAACTGGATCAGGATAAAGACTGAGAAAGAAAGAAAGAAAGCTTGAATTATAACACTCATATTACTGCAACATCCTACAAAATCAGACTGTAGTTTTTGTTCAGTTTCTCTTTATAGCTGAAATGCCTCAAGTTTCTTCATGAGAGGCAGGAGCAGATGCCCAAATGCTATCTTCTCTGACAATTTCCAGCATCTAGGGTCATGGAACAAGGCTGCCACCGTAAGATTATAGGCGTCTGGACATCTTATACATGTGTGTAATGATGTCACTGCTTTGCATAACCAAAAACACCCTGAATATCCACAGGGAAATAGAATTCAGTACTTGGCAGGTCAACTCAAATGCCCTCCCTTATTGTCTGTCTCTGCCTCATTCTTACTCTCATTCTTAAGTTCATGAAGTTTTAAGTGCCTGAAATCATTCTTGGTGAATGATGCTGGGCCACTCTGAAAATTTGTGGCTGAGATCTGGACCCTCGTCATCACCACGTACTTTGTCACTGAGACAGGGTAACCCATGGTTACTGGGCTCAGATCAGTTAAGGGGCAGAGAGCCTCCCCTCCTCACTGCTATATAAAAGAGACCGGGTAAAGGGGCCCTAGCAGCTCCTAGCTCTCAGCCTGGGGGCGAAGGTGTGGGAAAGAAAACCAGCCGCAAACGCAAGGCCAATATGTCTCCTACCTTCAAACTTCAGTGCCACTTCATTCTGATCTTCCTGATGGCTCAAAGAGGGGACAGCCGGTACCTAGAGGTGAGCGGTTCCGAACTGACCCTTTCAGACGGTCCTTGCCTGTGTTCAGCCACAGAGCATGGCATGGGCAGGCTGCCTCTGCTCTCAGCCTTGGTTGGGCTTAGCCTTTACTTCTCTCCATTTTGCAGTCCACCCACACCCCCATCCCTGTCTTTCTCCCACTTCTCATCCTTCCCTCTAACCCCTAGGGCTATCTCTTCGGATGGAAAATGTCTAAGACTTTCTTGTCTTCTCCTGCCCCGGGAGACACTGACCCCCTTATTCTCTCTGTTGTGGGGCAGGTAGGGTGCCTGTTCCTGGTTCCCTTTCCCACCCCTTGAACTTTTCCGGACTGACCCATTTTTCTTGCCAGCTGCGGGAAGCAGTAGACCACGACCCTTTCCTGCTCTTCAGCGCCAACTTGAAGCGGGAGCTGGATGGGGATCAGTTATACCGCCGCTCTCTGCGTGAGTAAGGAGCAAGCTGGCTGACGGTAGCTGGCAGCGGGGATTGGGGGAGATTGGGGCTCCCGGGCATCTCATCGTTAGGAAAGAGGTGGCCAGGGCCCCAGCCAGTGCTGTTACTATAGCTAAAAGTGCTTCCTAGGAAGCACGATGGGGCGGGCGGTGTGGGGTGACGTGCCAATGTGGGGGCCAGGGGCAGCCGAGGCTGGGAATCCCGGGACTGCAAATGCGGGAAATGGGGTAGGTGGAGCAGGGCCGCCGGGTCGGCGCCCGCCTGAGGTGGCTGCAGCCCAGGATGCCCGCTGTCCTCCTCCAGGATGCCTGGATATGCTCAGCCTGCAGGGTCAGTTCACCTTTACCGCCGATCGGCCACAGCTGCACTGTGCCGCCTTCTTCATCAGTGAGCCTGAGGAATTCATCACCATCCACTACGACCAGGTCTCCATCGACTGTCAGGGCGGAGACTTCCTAAAGGTAAGGCACTCAGTCCGCGCCAGCCAGACGGGTTGGTGGGGAGCACCGCAGGGAAAATCGGCGGGGGGCGCAGCACCCAGCGTGGGACTGCTAAGCGGGCTGGGACACTTGTAACTGTAACTGCCCTCGGCTGGTGCAGAGTAGGAGAGGTGCGCTTCGGGACCCACCCGCACCAGGTAGGAACCCCAGCCGCAAGACCTGGCGCCCACCTACCCCAAAAGGCCACGCCTCTGCAGCTGCCTTGGTGTAAATCCCTTCTGTGCGCTCTGGGAACTTCCGCAGACTTAAACTCCTTGTGCAACTGCCGTGTGGCGATCTGGTACTGAGGCGAGGTGATACAAGCTAGCAGGAGTGCTGGGCACGGGAATGTCTGTGCGTTCTGGTTGGGAGACGGGTCCCCCACGTCTGAGATAGCCTGGCTCCTGCTGGCGTCTCTCTCCGTAGCAGTTCCAGTTGCTTAATTAGGTACTGCACCGCCTGGGTGACCGATTTGGAGTGGCAGAGAATGACTGCTGAGCGGGATCCAGTCTGAGGCAGATGGGGGGGCGGGGGGGGGGGGGAGAGAAGGCATGAAAGCCCCCAAACTCACACAGCCCACTCTAAGGCCTCTCCCCAAATCTAACAGCTCAGCTTGGGATGGCCTATGGAATCCTACAGGCTCCATGATTTAAATCTCCATTAGATCATGTTTTAAATCTCCAAAATGGAAATTATTTCGAACCTGTCAAGCGTGGTGGAAGAGGACGGCTGTGGCAAGTAATTGGTAGCTGGGCTGTTGGTAATTTTGCAAATGTGGTCTAGGTTGGACTCTTGACATGGGAGACCTGTGGAGACCAGGGAGTAACATAGATGCTCACCTTTTGTCCAGCTGCAACTTTCACAAGGCCCGAGGGCTTGCCAGAGCTGCTGGACTGGGGTGAAAGCAGTTCTTGATATGTTTAATATATGATAACAAGAGAAAATAGGTCATTGGCAGGTAAAGTTGCTGTTCTGTTTTTTTTTATTGTTGTTGTTGTTTTTTTTACTAATTTTGAGATGTTTCTGTTGTTGTTCATCTTTCATTAAGAGAGGAACTAAAGCCCTAATTATGTTTCTGTTACATTCTTTTGAGAAAGGGAGGTATGGAAAATATGAGCAAAGTAAAATGTATACTGTCTGTACTGTCTGTGGTTTTATGTACCAAGGTGGCGGAAATGATAAGAGCAAGTAGATGAAAGCTTAATTAATCTGGAAAGTTTAGGTTTATAAAGGAAAGAAAGCAACAATCATCACCAAAATATAAACAAATGGACAGGAAGGACAAGTTGTGGAAACTGAAAACTGGCCCATTTCTGGATTGCCCCCCCCCCTTCAACACACCTGAAACCCAGGAGTTGATGGGCATGATCAGCTGTATCTGTATGTTTTTTGTCTGGAGGTTTTTGATGGTTGGATTCTCAAGGGGGAGACATTTCCCAGTTCCCAGGATCATCCTCTCCCCATGACTGAGCGCTACATAGATTTCTGTGAGAGTGGTCTTAGTGGAAGAAGCATCAGATCCTCCCAGAACGTGGCCATGATCTTCTTCCGAATTCATGAACCAGGAAATGGATTCACATTAACCATAAAAACAGATCCCAACCTGTTTCGTAAGTAGACTTCTGTCTTCTGAGTTTGATCATAGGACTTGTGGGGAGGAGTGTCAGATCTGTTCTTCAAAATAGCATTATTGCAGAGAAGAAATTTGAAGTGAGGAATGATTTGAAAGGGAATTCCTTTTTTTTTTTTTAAGATTTATTTATTTATTCATGCAGAACTGGGGTATAGGCCAGAGGTGCAGGGGCAGTGAGAGGATTCACCAGAGACAGAGCGGGGAGCAGAACAGCAGATCAATGAAGTACACTGCTGAGGGGAGCAGTGGGTGGGTTAGGAGAGGTCTGACATGCCACATGGGTCACCTCTGGGGCCGGGGACCTAACCCTCAATGAAGCCGCTACAGCCAGCTTGCAGTTAGTTCTGCATCCTAACCAGTTGCACCACCAGGGAGGGCCTGGGAATTCATTTTTAATTAGAAATGTCCTAAAGGATATTTTCTAGTCATTATTATAAAAATCAAATCAGTTTTTCATTTTTTTCCAGACTAAGTAGGGTACTAATATATGATGGGTACCATTCTGTTTTTCCTCCAGCCTTACTCTGATCTCCAGAGGTACCACAATGCATTCAGTGACAAATTTTAATCCCACTTAGTTATTTCATTGATCTGAAATAAACTTGAGAGATTAGATATAAAGTTGCAGTCTTAGAGGTATTATGGTAAAGATAGAAAGACTGCACAGCTAGGATGTGATTGAAAGAATCCATATCCTGAACAGAGAATTGGACTTGGACCTTAACCTTGCCTTTTGACCTTGAGTCCACCACTTTAATTGAATTCATTTCTGATGGATCACACATAGATGCTCTAAAGCTGAACAATTTAATCATATAGGACACATTAGTTTATTATTTTTCCTTTTAAGGAGAAACATCTTTCAGAAAATCAGGAAAAGAAAACAAGTCATTCATATTTAGTTTCAGACAATAGTATTATATTAACATACTTCCTGTGGTCAAGAATGGTGCCTTACCCACCAAAGAATTATATACAATCTGACCTTATGATTTTTGTTTTGTTTTGTTTTAATTTTTGAAAGACCCTCCCCTGTTTCCACCCTCTACCTCCATCCCACAGATTATATGTGAGGACTGGAACAGAATAATCCTAAATGACAAAGTGAATATTTATCCTATGTTTTGTTTGGTTAGAAACCTATAACCACCTAGACTCATTCTTTTGAAATTGTGCTGTTGAAAATAAAGGAAGAAAGTAAGAAGTATTTCTGATGTGTTTTGATCAGTCAGAAACATTGTCCCATAATTGGTCCAAAAAAAGTAGTAACTCAGATGATTATAGTTACAGAGCTAAAAGAATAAATCTATCGTAAATCTAGACTTCAGATTCAAAACAAAAAAAATTCAGAAATTCTTAGAAGTAAATTTAATGTTAAACATTACAATTTTACCTTCTGTCAATTTATCACTTAGCAGTTTGCAAATATTTATCAACATAAGCTGGCTTTCTCTATTTTTTTTCCTCAACCAGCTTAGTTGTTGCTTTAATGTTTACTTATTTTGTTATTTTAAAAAATAACATTATGGCTACAAAAGTGATAAATTAAGGCTCAGACAGATAAGGTTGAGTTCTGGTCTCACTTTTTTGGTTCTTCTGTACACTTAGCTTGAACTTGGCTGCTCCTTAATTGGAATTTCCCTAGAACTACGACGGCTACTATTGTTTGTTTGATTATTAACTTATGTATTTCATTGTTATAAATAAGAAAACCCCTTAGAGTAAAATGTCCCATGAAGCACAGGCTCTCCTGGTCACATCCACACATGACTGGAAGTTTTATTCCCAACACTTTACTATCTCACAGAGACCTGTGTGATAAGTCTTCCAGGTCACAAAACCCTAGAACATGAATAGGGCCTACAATAAGGATAGAATAAATGCTTATAAAAACTCAGCATACCAAGGAGTGAAAATGTGGTTTTGTTTTTCTTCAAAGCTTGCAATGTCATTTCCCAGACACCAAATGGAAGGTTTACCCTAGTAGTTCCACATCAGCACCGAAATTGCAGCTTCTCCATAATTTATCCAGTGGTGATCAAAATATCTGATCTTACCTTGGGACATTTCAATGGTCTTCAGTTAAAGGTGAGTGGCTTATTTCCTCCCCATCATTTCCTAAGGCTCTGGCTTTCTTAGAGTAAATGCAGTTATACAGTGCAAACATGCACATAACAAACTGAAGCAATCATGTTCTGTTCATGACATGTACTTGGTTGCCCTCATTGCTTTAACTAAACCCCTCTTTTTATTTCAGTTATGCTGCAAGTTGCATACTCAGGTGCCCTTTCTGAACACTTGAATACTTTTCTTGTGATGTAAGATGTGTTTTCAACTGGGAAAGTGTGGCATATAATTACAATTGAACTCTCTTGTACTTGCCGTTTTTACCAAAATTCTCTCCTAGCAGAACCTAGTGAGTCATCTACACAGCTGTTTTTCTGATTATTGGAATTTTCTTTTGACATGAAGGAAGTATCTCATTGACAGAAGTCTTATGAAGAAATGCTAAGTGTAGCATAAAATATAAAACCGGATTTTTATATTGCAAATACAGTAAAGTTTGGAAGAGCTTTTGCAATTACATTTAGTTGAATACATTTTGTATCAAAGTATTAGCTATGAATCCCCATCACCTTGTTTTCCCATGGACCTAAAATGAATGTGGCTGCATTTACTTACACTGATAGCTCTTCCCTCTGAGTCATCCTCATTTCCTTTTACTTTCTCAAATGCCAGGGTTGTGACAGCTCATGTATGTTGGCACTAAACAATCATAGTCCCTAATCAGACAGGCTTTGGTGAAAACCAAATAAATTTCCTTTAAGCTGTAAATTCATGAGCCAGTGACTTTTATTTTTTAATTGGACCTTTTCAAAAGAATCGGCCTTGAGAAAGACAGGATAGGTGGATGTCTTTAACATAGCCTTATTTGCTTGTGGTTGTTTTTATGTCAGTCTTGCTGTATTATACAGAAGATGGTCAGTATGATAGCAGATTGAGAGGTCTGCACTTTAGTTATTCCTGGCTCTGAGCGGAATCAGTGGCCAAGAGAACAGCAGCAGGGCAGAGCCTCAGAGGCAGGCGTTGGCTTCCTGGATTTGATTTGGTTTGATTGATTGAATTTTTGCATCAAGAGCTGGGTTGTAGGCCAGAGGTATGGGAGGGTGAGAAGATTCACCAGAGACAGAGTGGGGAGCAGAGCAGGCAGATTGACCAAAGTACACAGCTGAGGGGAGCAGGGGATGAGACAGGGGAAGTCTGGGCCATGGGGGTCAACAACCTGGCCAGGGGTTAGATTCATGCTGCAGTGGCTGCTGATTGTTTCACAGTGCTGAGACTTCACCCCCGTGCCACTGGGGAGGTGTGGCCTCCTGGATTTTAGTAATGGGAAGAAGGGGAGGTAGAGGCAAAGTGGTCAGACAGCACTGGGGTATAGGGCCAGGATGAGAGAGTCCACAACCAGTGTTATGTAGTTTGAGTTTCTAAGTGGAATTAAATCACTAGCAGCGTTCAGGCAGGAAATCATCCCGATCTGACTTAAATGGCCTGACGGTGGCTCTGGCTTTCAGAAGTGTGTGGGCAGCAGGGTCTAGTGTACTTCGAGGGGTCTTCATGGCCTAGGTGAGAGATGGTTGTGACTCAGGCCTGGGTGGTGGAACCTCAACAAAAAATCTAAGCAGTTCTTACAGAGAAGCTGAATCTCAGAGACCTCCCAGCCAACTCAGATTCTGCCATTGTGGATGAGAATAGCTGAGAGACTGGGAAGAGAGAAAACCCAGTGAACAACAAGGAATAGGCGCACCCAACTTTCTTCTTTGTTTGGTTCCCTCATCTTGGGGAGTAGGCTCTACTTCTTCCCAAAATCCTAATTTTCCATCTCTCTTTTGAACCTGCCTTTTTCCCTTTACCACCTCTGCTGAAATTCAGAACCTATCTTACCAATTAACTTAGTCTTAAGAGATGTTTCCTGGACTATCTCTAGGGAAAGGTGATTAGGAGTTTTGTCTTCAACTCTACATGGTTTATCCAGCTCTTCATACAAGAACATGAATCCTGTACACAGTGGGGCTAATTACCTCTCTATTTCATCATTTAGTGAAATGATAAATAAAGAAGCTAAGCTGGCGTAGAATCTAACACATAGTAGGTGCTTTTAAAATGTATGTCCCTACCTGCTTCTTTTCATCAAACAGTTGCTGTTACAGTATTTTCTAAATTTTTGTTTAGTTTCTGCTACATTTCATTGTCTTCCAAATGTTTGCATATACATATTTAAAGTTCTCTATTATAGATTTTAGTCCCAATGTGTCAGGGTCTCTGTTTAATCTAAGTCCCTTGCCACACTCCACAAAATCTTTTAATGAGCCTCCATGAAGAAGCAGCTGAAGGCAAAACTGGCTATGTAGTTTATAAGGAGCAAAATGAAAATGTGGGAGGCCTTATTTTATAATTATTCTATGATGATGACAACAGAGCATTACATGACGCCCAGGGCTCTCATAGGCGTGGACCCTGTGTGGCTACCTGGAAACCATTCCTGATTGCAGCAGATGCCAGTCCAAAGTGCAATAGCTGGCACTGGGAGGAGCTTCTTGTGTGAGAAGGTGAAGCACAGGGATTGGTGTGGGTGAGACAGTCTAGGAAGGGGGATGGGAAGCAGAAAAAGTTGGCGATAGGGATCAGACATAATGTTAGAATAGGTTCTTGTTTTCAGTAGCTTGAAATCAATTTGTTTTAGCACTAAGGAAAAAGACAAGGATAACTCTAGCTAGCTTGGACCCCAAATTAGGATTCTTTTCTTTTAAAAAGATTCTTATAACTAATCTAAATCCTTATCAGTAGTCATGATAAGGATTGTCCAACAGCAGGAAAAAAAAGTTCCTTACAAAAAAGAGAAAAAGGAGTAAATTGAAGGGAAATCTGATGTGAAAACCCTACTTCCTTTAACTCTGATTGCATGCAGTAAGAAATTCAAGTAATTCACTGTGTATGTCTAAATGATTTAAAAAGCAAAGCATTTTGCGATTCAATTTTCATACATCTTTTAAGTAGTTTACAGATTTCCACTTCATCATTCCTGCCCTTGAGTTTATGAAAAAAATATGCAAACACATTTTAAAAAATGATTACTCACTGATTTAGAGAAGCTATTCTTATCCTTTTTTTCTTTAAAATGTCTTTTAATTTCCAGAGTCTTGGATATTAAATGGCACCGCCAGGATGCCTAAGGCTGAGCGAGTGAATTCACCAACTTGCCATTTGACAAATGGTTTGACTTCCATGATTGGTTTAACTATTCCTTTCTCTGCTGCCTTACTCTCTCAGAAACCCTCAGGAGGTTGTGGGGGAATAGGAGACTTTGTGGAACTGCTGGGAGGAACTGGTTTGGACCCTTCCAAGATGATTCCTTTAGCTGATCTCTGCTCTCCCTTTCATGGGCCTGGTGAGCTGTTTCTTTGATTATTATGTTTGTACCAATCAAGTTTATTTCTTTAAGTATCACATCTCAAAATTTTTTAAAAAGATTTATTTATCCATATAGAACTGGGGTACAGGCCAGAGGTGCAGGGGCAGTGAGAGGATTCACCAGAGACAGAGTGGGGAGCAGAACATCACATCAAAGAAGTACACTGCTGAGGGGTCAGGAGGGGTCTGCTGTGCCATTCCAGGGCTGGGAATCAAACTCGCACCAAAGTGGCTGCGGCTAGCTTGCAGTGCTGCGTCCTAACCACTAGGGAAGGCCACAAATGTTTATATCTATATGGGATCACAAGGTCCACTCCTCCACCCCAAAAAGGAAAACAGCCAGTTTTGCCCATTGAATCAGTGTGAGGAGGTTACATTTGAGCCTATGTGCAGTATTAAGAATGTGTTACCACGACAGCAATTCTGGATGGGAGTATCCAAAATTATTTTTTTTAATTTATTTTTATTTTTACGAGTTTATTTTTTCCTGAACATATTTTGCATGTTCTTTGTAGAAAAATAAAGAACAATTTCATATATTTTAAGATATAAAGATAAATCGTTTTTTCAATATGACCATGTTTATTCAATCTATTACAATTCTGGTCAATTTCTTCTTTTTCAGAGAGTGCTATTAAGCTTGAATCTGTCATTTGCTCTTTTTTATTTATTTATCTTGTCAAATATTATTTCAATTAAAAATAAATCAATTAAACAATAGTGTGTTACCAAAATCTTTAACATTACTGTTTTGTAATGAGCATGTTTTAGTCCAAAGTAAAACTATGAAAAAGACAGTTTTTTATTGGGTCCTTTCCACCTTTTTAAAAGTCTCTGCTGTCATCCTCTAGTGACCAAAGAATTGGTTAACTTAGTGAAAATTATGGCTCAAATAGTAGATGATTCAGCAATTAGAAATAGTGTAAAATGAAGTAATATGTAACTTTTTCAAATATATGTAGTTGTAAATATGTAGCTAGTAAATAAACAAAAAAGTGATATGTGTTATTGGACATGGTCAGAATTGCTGAATGCTCCCAAATCCTACCAGCAAAAATAGCATATGAATGCTCATGTCAACACAGAAAGAATTTCTGAAACCTGAAAATGGTTACCAGTAATAAGACTAGTTAGTGCACAGCATGCCAAACAGAGTCAGATTTTCTTTGTTAGGGACTAGAAAGATTTTCCATTTGATTATTATCAGGTGGGGTGAGATGGGTGGGCACTGCTGATCTCATGACCGATTAACATAACAAAGTTCCAGGGGAGAGGAAGAGGCGTACATAAAACATTCCTATAAAAGTACCTCCCATACCTGTAGGTCAGATACATGACTGTCTTTAAGGAGCCAAAACAACAAAACACAAAAAAAAAACAGAGGAAGTAAGGCAGTCTCTGATACCATGGCTCATTCTTATCATGGCTCCCTTCCTCTTTGGAAACCACAGATCACTACCCAGCAGGGTAATGAAGCTGCAATTCAGACTCTCCTTTGGACGACCTGTCACCTTAATTAAAACCATCTCTGCCCACCAGTACATTTTCTGTCTGAGCTAAAGCAGGAGCCTCAGCAAATAACACAACTCTGAAAAAAAAAGTTGGCATGCACATGAAAACACTAAGGGCCATTTGTATTCCACTGGCTGGAATTCATATACTTCACCTGCCTAAAGAAGCATATCAGAGGTTTGAGCGGGACTGGGTCCAGGTGAGCCTTCCAAGCAAGGTAATGGCAAAGGTTTCTAGTAACCCACTTTGCTGAAAATGTAGGACTATTTATTTATTTATTTATTGCTGGCTTACACTTGAGCCCTGGTCTCAACTGTCAGAGCAAATGGCTCTTGTCTTTTCCATGTACTCTCTTGAGGCACTGGAAACTTCCATGAGGATGGGGTGCATCTCTGAATAGATGTGTGTAAACTGGGTAAAGAGAAGAGATTAAGGACAAAGACAAACCCTGCCTTAAAGTTTAGATAATCAAAGTGAGAATAATTTTGGTGCTTGAATTGTAAGACTTGAATTAGGTAAAAGTGTGAGACGAAGCCCCCCCAAACCACTTTTTTCTAAAATAGCTAAATAATTTACAAGTCAATATAATTTGAAGACTTGAATATATGATTCATTAAATCATTTTAGAATTTGTTTTCTTTCATTTACCCATATTTCTATGAGCTCCTCCTAAGTTATTCAGAGAATAAACTATTATTGGGGACCCTGTCCTTCAAATTAGATTTTATTGGAAGTTATATCAAAATGATAAACAGCATGCATATTAACTGAAGAAAATGCGGTATGTTTGGTTAAATTTGGAGTCAGATCAGAAAAAGAATGACCTTCCAAATCATGTAAAGAAAATTAAATATGGGCCTCTTGTAGAAGCTTAACCTAAGCTTAATATAGACTTCTTAGTACTCAGATTAAAATAATTATGGAGCTTATTATGTCTCTAGCTTGCCTTCTACCTCAATAATGCTATCTGGCTGATTTGCTTCATTGAAATGTAGGTACATGTTTAGGAAGTACTTGTTATATAATGATAATGCTAGTGTTTCTCAGAACTTAGGTCTTACAGAGACAAAGTGATGGTGGGTGGGGGAGAACATTGATAAAATTAAAACAGCAGAAAGCATTGTTGTAGGACAGCTAAATCTTGCCCCTGGAACCATCTTAAAGGTGGAGAAATATAACAAAATTAATTTTTAAAACAAAAACCATAGGAATTTAAATATATAGCAGCTGAAGTACATTTGTACTAGAAATACATAAGCACTGCAGATTCTTATGCAGGTAATGAGTAAGACTGCATTTAAATAAGGATATTAAATGCCATTCTATATAAGAAACAAAAGAAAAACTGAGAAAATGTATAGTGGACAACAGAAATAAGTATACTCAGTGTTTATCTAAATTATGCAAGTGATTTTTTGTTTATATATAAAATAGGATTATTATTGTATTAGAAAATAATAAATAGGTGGATTTGGGGGGTCTACATAAATATCTGGCAGTAAACGCCTCTAGTCCTGCCCAACTAAATGCCATTTGCACCCTTAGCTATAACCACAACCGAAAACTGACCCTGCAAATTTCTAGCCTGTCCCTAGAGGGCAGTACTGCTCCCACTGAGAACACTGAAGTCAACGCGCTCCTGGCCTTCTCCCGTCTTTATCACCACAGCCTGGTGGGTAGAGGAACATGAGGTGTCTGGACACATCGACTTGTCGCACATGGTTAACAATGTTCTTGTACGTGAGGAGAGGGGCTGGGTTCAATTTCTGCAATTATTTGTATGTCATAATAGGAATGAAAACAGAAATGTTTCACCTGCTAGCAAGATGTTGGTTTGAGCAAGTCAGAGGAAGCAGCCTTCCCCTCACTTGTTTGTGTATAGATGATCTTGTCCATAGACATGGCTCGACTGTGTGGCTTCTAACATATTGGAAAACTTTTACTCTTTCCATGAATTTCAGCCCAAATGAAAATTGGCTGTGACAACACTGTGGTGCGCATGGTCTCCAGTGGAAAGCACATAAATCGTGTGACTTTTGAATACCGCCAGCTGGAACCGTATGAAATGGAAAACCCAAGTGGAAACAGTATCCAAGAGTTTTGTCTCTCTACTCTTTGAACAACCAACCCACTGATTTACGTACTGCCAGCTAAGAGAGTTTTAATAGCTGTTCTATGATTTTGATGCCAAGTAGTTATGTCTTTCATGCTAGTCTTCTCAGTATAGACACACACACACTTCACACATGCACATTAATTTCTGTACCTTGTTTTTTCTTTTTTTCATTTGTAAGATATCAGTGATCACAAAGAAGAAAATACTCCCTCTTTTGGTAGAAAATCAGTTTTCTACAGTTCCTTGGTCTGCTGCAATCCTGAATGGATAAGACACCTGCAAGCAATGTGGCCATAAACAATAGTATCTCGAGGGAAATACAAGAAGGAATAAAAAATGGTGGTGTCCATATCAGTTTTGTAACAGAAAACAATGTCTTTTTTATACCACAGTAGTTGCATCTATTTTTTGTTTCTTAATCTGTCTGTAATAGATAATAGTCATTTTCATTATTTCTTGATCACTAACAGCTTGTTTTTAACAAAGTTTGAGGAAGGAAAATTTTTTCCATACAAACACAAATAAATAGTCAGAACGTTGGCACATTGACACTGCGCTTGTTTGCTTTCCTGAGTATCCTCTCTCCACTGACACCAGAAAACCAAGTCCTCTATACAAATATGACATCCTTGTATTGTAAACCTGAGACGAATATGATATTTCGTGTTAATTATATCTCAATAAAGAATGCATTGCAAGAGAAAAGAATGTCTTCATGTGGTCCAGAACCAAACAGTGAACGAAATCACTTTAAATGTTCTAAAGAACTCTGGGTCAGAGTAGTCATTTAGAGAGCGGGCAGAAGCAGAGCGCTGGCACAGACAACTCTAACTGGCCTCAATAACTAGGCAAGAGGCAGGATGCCCTCTAAGAAAACTGAGAATATACATCTCCCTCACAGTGGATGTACTTTTCAACAAAGACAACAGGGGCCTGACAACTCAGAAACAACCTGCACAAGTCTGAGAACCTCTTTGGTACTAAGGGCAGTTGAATATTGACTGAGCCTTGTCTACATGTGGCTTGAGACTAAGGCCATTAAAGATTTCAGAATAAGACTCCTAATTCCAGGAGTAAATAATGAATACAGGTCAGTTTTATACCAGTCTTCTCAAACTGGGTTGCCTCGTTTTAGTATTAGTTTAAGATATTCATGGGTTAATTTAGCTGTAAAGTTCACAATAATATTTACTGTTTCTGCTTTTGCATTACATTATTTTTGTCTTTTAATGCATGCGTTTCTTTTTACCTGCTATGGAGTTTTTCCTCAGAGGTGAAATAAATTTACAGAGAATAAATTTTGGGGATGAAGATTCTTTCAGATCTCTTCCAGATTCCCTTTCCCTTTGCCAGTTTCTCTGCAAAGAGGACTCTCCATGAAAGAAAAAGACTTGATGGGTAGGATTTACTCATAGGCAATTTGTTCATGTGTTTAACAATACCTAATAGAGTTGCAGACAAGAGCTTCTGTTATACTCACATGAAATTATATTTGAATATACTGTTATCTAGTACAGTGGACTATTCCAGAGAAATGCCTCTGTAGATCCAAATAAGAAGATCGAATGGCCTCATTCCTAATGGATCATTTGTAATGATTACCATCCATTTTTTCTCTTTGCACATAGAAGGTTCTTTTTCACATGCTAAGATAAACTACAAAGAGAGAAGAAACAGAGGAACCAAATAGGACACTGTGACAAGAGAAAAAAATACTTGATTAGAAGGTTTGAAGGTATAGTGAAAATCAAGGTCTCTCATTTGGTGAAATGAAGACTATGGACTTTGTGCAACTGAAAAATTGAAAATGATGAAATGGTTTGTGCTTTAAGAAGACTGAATGTCAGTACTAGTTTTCTGTACTAAATGTCATGGCTGTAGGAGCTACACAGAACCTCAGTCTTTGTAACTAGGTGGGTTATCATGTTAGCATAACAATGAGGGTCATCCAGGTGCCCCAAATAAATGAGGGCACCAGCTGTAAAATGGGGCCTCCACCAAGTAAAGACAAAGGTAGTCGATGTGGTATGAGAGATCATTAATATAGTGTATACAGAGAGCAAGAAGAAAGGATATTAATTTCCCAATAAAACACCCCAAATTACCCATCCTTTTGTAGGTAAATGCCCAGACAGACAGGGTCAGCCTGAAGTCTTGACACAAATCTAATCCACCTTCTGGTGGGGAACCTTAGAAAAGGGGTTCTGAAGCAGGTCGCAGAAGGTGGAACTCGAGGAGATCCCCCATCAGCATGACGGCTGCCATTGTCAGCTCCCCACGTGTCTCTCACCCACATATCTCTACATGTCTCTCTTCCACACGTCTCCTTCCCAGAAGGAACAGGATGCAAGTTGGGTCGCAAAAACAAGAGGAATCCCCTTAGCCCACCTGCTCAGCATTATGTAGCTTTACCTGGCTGCTCAGCTCCAGCCCTGCTTCACAGTAGCAAGTCCAAGATCATGGTGTGTAAGTGTGTGTAGTGGGGAGAAGTGGACATGACACCTCCCCTACAATCAGATATTGAGGTTTCCCAATAAGAAGATGGATTTCCCTTCCTTCTCCAGATTTCTAAAGTATAGGAAACTGTCTCCTATGTTTTTAATGGGTGAGATGTAATCCAAGTATGTGGTGCAATTTGAGGAGCAGTAGAAGACTCACTTAACTGAAAACATAGCTAAAATTACACTCTTATGATCCTTTTTCTTTTATTGCTTAAGACCCTTTTGTAATTAAACAAATGATTCATGATTACTTTATGGTTTTAAATGCTTCTGATGGACAGTTAACTATTTAATGAACTGACATAAAATAAGTAATTAATTCAACCTCATAGAGCATGGGTTATAATGTTACAGGTGTGTTTGAATTAAGGAGAATGTGATGGGTGAAATGAAGAATATGAGATGCTGAGGAAACAGACTCAGATGACTGTCCCTTTAAGGCTATTGGGAAAGCCAGCGAAGAACTGATGTAGCTACTAGCTACCTGGAGGTTTGCAGAGGAAATCGAAAAGGAAGCTTGCTGTGGAGTTGGGGATGCTGTCAAAGGCAAACTGAGGGCACTTGCTTACAATCCCCTAAAACCAGCCTCTGTAGAATGGATGTGACCAGAGAGAGAGCTTTAGAAACAGGACCCAGTCCTGTGAACACAGGCATCAGAACAGAGGAAGAAAAAATCAGACCTCTGAACCAGACCTGGGGGTGGGCTCTGACTCAGCCATTGACCACCTATGTGCCATGAGCAAGTCACACTCCTGTTAAGAATCAGCTTCCTCACATCCAAGACCATGCCCTGTCCTAGGCATGTGGCAGAGACTCTAAATGAGTTTCCCTTTTCTGGAAAAGTTGTTCACCATCAAGTCTTCAGTAATATAATCTCACCTTAAAATTCTGCAGTGAGGCTTGTTACTTAAAGGAAATAAGAGGAGGCTCTTTCAAACAATAATTTGGTAAAAGAAAGTAACTGAATGTCAAATTGTTAGGTGTATACATTTAGAATAGTTTCTGATCTACAGTATTTACTCATGAATTCATTAATGTGGGAGGTGCATTCTCAAGGTTGTTAAGTGGTAGCCTAACTTTGGTCTGCTTTGTGAAAGCCCTACTCTCTCCCCCAGCCCCACATCAGGTCTGGCCAACTAGGTGCCTCTCCCCACCTTCTCAGTGAAAACAACTTTCTTACACTGTCTCTTAAGGGACATTGAAGCATCACCCAAAGGGAGTAGTAAGAAAGGGTGACATAGGTGCCATTTTCTTTAAGGCTTCAGGTTAAAAACAAAACAAAGAAAACAACAAACCTATCTTTTTTTTTTTTTAAAGATTTATTTATTATTCATATAGAACTGGGGTACAGGGCAGAGATGCGGAGGGTGAGAGGATTCACCAGAGACAGAATGGGGAGCAGAACAGGCAGATCAATGAAGTACACTGCTGAGGGGAGCAGCGGGCGGGCCAGGAGAGGTCTGCCACGCCATGTGGTCACCTCCAGGCAGGCAGGGATGGAACTCAAGAGGAAGTGGCTTAAGCTTCTTAGTGCTGTGCTTTAACCCGCTGCGTCACCAGGGAGGGCCAACAACAAACCTATCTTTAAGATGGACAGCCATAAAGAAAATGTTTGGTTTTAGTCTTAATTTAAATAACAACAAAAGCTACTATTTATCGAACCTTTGCTATTGTCTTTGCATGATTCCACAGACTTCCCACAAATTAAAACATTCAGACCTATCTCCATTTTACAATTGGGGAAGCTGAAGCAAAGAGAACTTAAATGAAGTGGCCTCAAATTACACAGAACACAGGAGAACCAGGACTCAGAATCCAGGGATCTAACCTCAGAGGTTGTTGCTCTCCTGCTAGAGATGTTACTAGAATAAAGTAGGAAACACTGCTCTCACGAGGGTCTCCACTAGCCTAGCAGTGATATTGAAAGCTTTTGGGTTCTTAGCCCTTTATCAGAACATGCCACTTAAAGTGAATTCAAGCCTTTGTCTGAGACTTGTATCAAATCAATCTCAATTCCAAGGCTCAGAACGATCAAAGGTAATGGTCAACTTTATGTGTGTCAACTTGGCTAGGCCTCAGTATGCAGATATTTGATTGAATAATAGTTATTACATAGTACATTAAGCTCAGAGATGTTGAGTAATATACCCCATAATGTGGGGTATTATCTAGTCAGTAAGTTTCTAGGAGAAAAAAGACAGAGGTCTCTTGAAGAGTGGATATCCTAATGGTTCTAATTTGTTTTGCTTTAGAAAATCTGGTTGAACACACTAAATAATGTTCTTTATTCTTGCTGAATATGTTTCTCTTGGATCCAACTGTAACATACTGTTGTTAAATTCCTCCTTACCAATGAAATGTCTGAGGAGATTATAACTTTGTTTTCTTTCTCCCTACAGTCTTTTGTGACATCCTGCTTTTAATCAAACTGACTTTCACAGAAGGAGCACAATAGGGCAAAGGAATGGACACCAGCAAATTTATTAGCACCTTCCCCTCATCACCTCAGTCCACCTACTTGAGAACCAGGTATTGAGATGGTAAGGGCCAATACAAAGCCCGATTCTGACTAAAATTAAATACCTCTGAAAAGGAAGTCCAAAGTAAAAATGGTTGTGAGATGTCATGTCCCATTTTTAGGAGGAACTGTAAACTGTAGGAAGAACAGCTAACAGTTAAAAGAAATTTAAGATTGTGCCTACGTCAAT